GAGGTAGGGGCGGTGGGGGGGGGGGGGGGGGGGGGGGGGTGCCATCCCCTGCTTCAGGGTGGACGTTGAAAAAACAGCGTCCACCGTGTGGTTGGGGTGCACTGCAGCTGGCACTGCTCCCGCGGGTTTTAGAGGAAACACTGACGGGAGACACAAACCCTCTGGAGATGTCTGTGTTCCCGCCAATGCCATCACGGGTCGTGCGGGTCCCCCGCGGACGACCTCGGCATACCGTCCTTTCGATAGGAAGGAAAAACTTTTTTTCGCTTCATGGTAGGAGATGTTTTCTGTGGTCTCCAAAGTCAGTATTTCTCTTTCTTTCCATTTCAAACAAGAGCTCGAATATGCTGGTTGACGGCCATCACAGTTGACACATTTCGATTCGCTCTCGCAACGTCAGCAACATGCTCTTTATTGGAGCACTTCGCGCAAGTGTCACTTCCCCGGCAGCTCCGTGACCCATGGCCGAACCTTTGGCACTTAAAGCTCCGCTGAGGATTCGGAACATAGGGGCGAACACGGCACATGAGGTAGCCTGCCTTTATGGTCTCTGGGAGAGTGGTGGTGTTGAAGGTCAGTATAACATGTCTCGTTTTACGCTCTACACCCTCATGACGAAGGGTGATGCGTCGAGCAGCAACAACTCTCTGTCTGAAAGGCCTTCGACGAGTTCTTCCTCAGATGAGTCCATTAGGTCGTCCTCTGAAATAACTCCTTGTATTGTATTAAAGGAGCTGTGCAACAATTTCAGGGCTTTGCTTAAATAATTGTGGAAGTTGATGCCTGACACTTCTGCAGTGAACCACAGAAGACAGATTTTCACTGGATACCCTAGTTTTTATTTTAAAAAAAAATGAAAAAGATCCAGGTTTTTGCCGCCTCTCAACTCGTGCATCGTCTTCTGGGTCACGTGCACAGTGACGTCACTTGAGTAGGCGCGGAGTTTTGGAAAAGTTCTCTCTTTAGAGCCATCAGCGAGCAGCGAGAACTCATCCGCTCGCAACCGCGTGACCACCCGTCCTTGCCCGTCCGGCGCTGTCCCCCTCCCCGTCCGACTTCTGGCGGCTGTTCGCGGTTTCATGGACCTAGGATAGACGGCGCCACTAAAACTCCGTATAATAAAAGTTTTGTCGATGATACCAGGGTTTTGACGCATTTATATATATATATATATGTTGGAACGACAAGATTTATAAAAAAAGTTACCTTTTATCGAGCAGGTATTCGCACAACTTGCTATCTTTCTTAGAACTACCCAAGTGACGTCACGCCGCTTGTTTCTCATGGCCGCCGCTCGTGGCTGCAGGTCGGGAAATATTCCTAGTTTTGCCTCGCTATTACGCGGCGGAATCGCAACATTTCGATGAAAGGAGGTGTGTTTTCTGCCATTTGTGACACAGTGAACAATATCAAAAGCAGAAAATGCCAATTCTTTCAACGTTAAAATCGTTTCACAGCTCCTTTAAGTTTGCGGTGTGGCGTAACATTTACATTATAGTCAGACACAGCATTGAGGAAAAAAGGGCATCACTTTGCTTTTTGGTGTTGGTCTCAACAAGAAGGTCACCAGATGCCATCTTTTTTGCAGAGTAATCCTTTCCAACTATTCCTTCCAGTAACTTGGCGACCAGGAAAGGGGGCAGTTTTGCAAGCGGTTTTTCTTCTTCAGAGTGCAACACAAGGAATTTTGGAAATTTCTCACATACTATGTTTGTTTCGGGAGTGACTTGAGCTTCCGCGCGACCTCCTTTCGGAGGCCGATCAGGAAAGGCTTTGTCGCGCAGACCCATATGAGATGGGAGGAAAGTTCAGTGCACGGGTGCACCGCCCACCACGGAGTCCAACAAGGGGGCAGGTGATGTGTCATAGCAAGATGGGCTTGGCTGATACAATTACTCTACCAGTGCTGCCCGGGCACTATACCTTAGTGTGGTTGCAGGGAGGGACCTGTTTCTCCACAAGGTTGACCCTTGCCGCATAAGAAGGTGAAAAGGAAGGAAGAGCGTCTAGGAGAAAAGAGAAAGAGGTGGAAGGAAAAATGAAAGAAGGGAGAAGAGGGTAGAATAGGCGACTGACTGAATCATCCTGATCGAGCCAAGCCAGGACACCCGTCTACAAGAAGCAGAGGCCGAAGTGGTGTATTGACTCGCCGGGAAGCCCCAAAGGGTTTAAACATACCCCGGGCTCAACTCAACCACTAGGGTCCCCTTTTCCCCGGACATAGTTTAAGCCACGCACAGCCACACGTGGGCGGGCGAACCCACATGACTCGGGGTTCGTAGTGACGCCACTCACCATGCACCTACTACAGTAGGTGCCCCCTGCGTGCGGGTATGGTGGCCCACGTGGCTGGGGTCCGTGGTGACGCTACTCACGAAGCACCTAGCGCATAAGCTGCAGGCGCCCCCTGCGGAGCTCGGTTTACGCAGAGACGCCACTCTCCGATCACCTGCTTTCACAGGCGCCCCCTGCGGGGTACACTCTCAACAATAGGGTAGTCGTTGGGTACTCCATTTGGGGTAGTCAGAAGCCGTCATATATATCGCTACCCCCCTCCCCTTAGTTATACTAACGACCCCGTGGTTAGTCACACGACACGTAATCAACAGGCAGTCACAGTGACCACCCCCAAAAGCAACATGGCGGCCGGCAAGCGACAGTGGAGAAATACGAGTAAGGATGGCAATGTGGGTTAGTTGGTTCATACTGACGAAAAGGCAAACAGAGCGCAGTAAACGGGGACTAGAGGAAGTGCAAACAGGACAAGCGCTGACTCTCAACTGAAATTTAATCACATGGAAACAAAACAAAGAAAACAGCAACTCAGCCCACGTCACATGATACATTCACCACGTGTCCAAGAGACTCAGGCTTTCGTGGACACGTGGTGAACGTATCATGTGACGTGGGCTGAGTTGCTGTTTTCTTTGTTTTGTTTCCATGTGATTAAATTTCAGTTGAGTGTCAGCGCTTGTCCTGTTTGCACTTCCTCTAGCCCCCGTTTACTGCGCGCTGTTTGCCTTTACGAGTAAGGCCTAGCGAGCTGGACTGCTTTTTGCTAAAATACGATTTTCAAGTGCGTACGCCCGTTCCCTGCCTTCCGTGCACACTAAAGTACTCCAAAACGCGCCTCGAAGCACCGGCACCGCACCTGTTACGAGTAGGCCTAAGAATCGAGTCACTCTCGGTTCTTAACAAACAAGCCTCGGCGCCGCGGGTCACCTCGCCAGTGAGTCCTTTGACGTCTGTCCTTGATGCGCGTCTTTTAGTTGTTAGACAAAGACAACGTACCGCTCGATTTATTTCGTCTGCCTTCTCTGAAAGGCGAAGTCGAGCTCGCTCGTGAAGACCTGCCTTCCGAAAGTTGCAGGGAAGGTAAGACAGACGCAGACGACGTTGCAAAGGAGCCGACGACGCTCATATAGGGGGTCGCGATCAGCCAATCAGACCTCGGGGTTCTGACGTCACCGCTACCCCCTGCGCAAGAAGCAGACAAACTTGCCCTCCGCGTTGGTTTCATCAATTGAAAAAGAGCGCGAACACTCGTCAACGTAAAGCAAGGAGTCTGCAAATTGCCTTTGAGTTACTCAAGGCATAAAGATCCTTATCTCGGTACATGTCTGTGCATGCCCGGGGAAGCACAGGCGCGTTGCGCCGTACAAACTGGAGGTCGCGGTAGAACCTTCGCCTATCATTCTCGTCAGCACCATCCTGGCAATTTTTATTAATGCGATAGCATTCTTTAGCTACTTCACCCGGTGATCGCAATACGGGATCTAGCCGCGAACGCGCCGCGCATATACGCGGCGCGCACAAGCGGAGCGGCAGTACGCGCTACTTCACATTCGCTCCCTCCTCGAAGGACATGATATCCTTGACATCGCTGTAGAGGACATCCAAGAGGTCGCTTTATATGTCGTCTTTGACGTCGTCCTCTAAGATGTCATCCTCGACGTCGTCCTTGAGGTCGTTCTTGAGATCGCTCTCGAGGTCGCTCTCGAGGTCGCTCTCGAGGTCGCTCTCGAGGTCGCTCTCGACGTCGACCTAGCATGCAGATCAACCCACGCCGCGCATACGCAGATCGGCAGTACGCACACATTCACATTTGTGCTCAAGCTACGAAGCAGGCACTCATTGCCACGGCGCAAGTAGATAAAGCCACGCCACGCACACATACACATTTGCGCCCAAGCTAGGAAGCAATGAACCTTTGTCCAGTAAGTTTCTGTGCTTGTGCACACCATTCCCCTGTCCTTGCTTCCCGCTGTCGCCATTTTCGGAGGGCAAAAACCAACCTATTCAGCACCTATCTTTTCGCGTATTTCGTTGTTTTTTTTTTGGCGATTCTTCTTTGAGTATACGCTAGTATGGGACATAAAAGGCAACGAAGTTTATTACAACGAAACGATGCCTATGTATTCTGACGGGCGGATGCATGTTGAGCCGCCCTTAATTTGCAGCTCGAAGAGATCTTCACAGACGGCGCTCGTTACTGTAAAAAAGGTCCATTATCGGTTTGAATTGAGCTAGTTTGTACTGTGGGGATCGAAAAGAAGAAGAATAAAGATGCCTCGTGAGGCAGATCGAACTAGCTCGCGCTCAGGACGAGCGCGGGGTAGAACGGGCGTAGACACCAGTGAAGCGGCTGTCTTTTCTTCAGTCTCCACATTGGCGCCCAACGTGGGGCCCGAACCCAGATTCCCGCACAGTCAGGTACGTTTAGCAGGCCTTCGCAGTCGCTGCGCCTATACAGACATTGGACTACTTCACCGCCGAGCTTGTTATAGTGACCGTTAAAATGTCAACTTCGCCCCCGCTTACGCGATCCCGTAGCCGCCCCAATGCAGCGAACACAGCTCGTGCTACCGCGACTGGTGATGGAGCGGAGGACTTGCGACCGGGCTCTGATATACCCACAGCAGACTTGAAGGTTCCATTGCCCGCTGAGAGCCTTTCCCCACCGGTGCCGCTTGCACCTCTCGCCGCGTTGGGCCCATTGCCAGAACAAATGGCATTGTTCCTGGCGGAGATGTCGCGGCTCCTGCAGGAACAACGCCGTCCGCTACCACCCTTAGTTCCAACACCTCGGACGGGGACATTGCGTTTACATGCCGAGATTCCGAAATATTCAGGCTACGCAGATAGAAAATCGGTTGCTGATTTTCTTGACGAATTGCGTGAATACCAGGCGGTGTCTGAAATGTCTGAGGTTGAACTTCTATCACGCGTACTGCCGATCGCCCTCACGGGAAGCGCCGCGACATGGCGTCGGAGACAATCACCCTTCTCGACGCTACAAGACTTTTCGGAGCAGTTCAAAAATGAATTTCTGCCTCCCGATTACGGCGCGCGAATGCTCGATGAGCTTAGGGCGCGCACTCAGCACCGCGACGAGTCCCTAGTCGAGTTTGTTCGGGCGCTCCAAACTCTCTATGACAGGGCTGACCCTAGTGCGTCCGACTCAGACAAGGTGTCGCGGGCTATCCGGCAAAGCCACCCGCAGTTTCATCCCTACCTGCGTGGGCGGGTGTTCCGGAGTTTGGACGAGTTGGCCCAAGCAGCCCACCAGATCCAGGCGGACATCCTGGCCGAACTAAGATATCGGCCTCCTCCACCGCCGGAGGCTTGCCTGGAACCGTCCTGCGCTTGGACAGGCACGACCAGGCAATCCATGGACGAGCATGGGTCACGGCCAGTTCTCCCCGGAAGGGTACCCCGAGCGCTGGACCCTTACACCCACGGACTGGGCGATGGTGCTCAAGTCCGCGAGCATGGCCGCCAATACCAAGCCCCATCCAGAGAGCGATACCCAAGGGCCACCTCAGCTACTCTCCGCTGCTTCCGGTGCGGAAGTCTCGGCCACTTTCGCCGGGACTGCACCCGGCGGGTTTCAAACGACAATTCGGGAAACGAGGTAGGCCGCCGATAGCAGGGCCCTGTCTGTCGGTGGCTTCTCCTTGTTACAGGCCCTCGGTCACCCCACCGTCTCGGTTCTTCAGCAGTCTCGGCCCAGCCTCACGAGCAGCCCCGCCGGGGGCCTCCTGTGATGAGCCCGATGTTGCAGCACCTGGTGTGGCGCCCGCTCGAGCGCCCGATGACGCTCCCGCTCCCGGATTACGCGGCGACGCTCTCGCAGGCGCTCGCGGAGATGCCCCAAGTCCCGGCGTGGCGCCCGCTCGAGCGCCCGATGATGCTCCCGCTCACGGATTATGCGGTGACGCTCTCGGCGGCGCTCGCGGAGATGCCTCCGGTAGTACCAGCGCCGGTGCTTTCCCCGAGGCTTCCCACGGAGCGGTTCTCGGTGGCGTCCTGGTCCCCGACGAGACAACTCCGGAGAACAGACGTGACGACAACGGCTGCTCGCAGGAAGTGGCAGCGGCGTGGCCGCCCGTCGTCCACCCACATGCCAGAAAAATGGCTGATGCGACCACACCAGCGCGGCCTTCTGGAAAACCCGTAGACAAGTGTATGGCCCGTGCGGTCCAACCGGAACCCCGTGCCCACTACCGAACGGTGACCTGGGCGGGTCTACGAGACGTGACAATCCTCAGCATTTCATTGATCATGGGAATCCTAGCGACCATGGTATCATGGGTGAGTCGGCTGAAAGTCTATGACAAGCTACTTCGAATTTATAGGTTCCGTCCAGTCACGTACTTTATACCATCCCTTGACGCTATGCGTCACGAAAGTAGAGGTATAACAGAACCCTACATTGTGGTTAACATTGCCGGTCAACAGATCGCAGCTCTCTTGGATACCGGAGCTGCAATTTCACTTTTTGGAGACTTCGTTAGAAAATTGTGCAAAGACCGGAACATCTCAATGCGGCGTTCTCAGAGAGAGCTCCGTACGGCATCTGACCAACTTATCTCCGTCACTGAAGGAGCTCGACTGAAGCTGAGCTTTGATGGGCGACAATGTCGACAACATTTCACATATCTGCCGGGTCTCGCCTGCCCTATTCTTCTCGGTCGAGATTTCATCTCCAGGGAAAAAATAGTCCTAGATTTGTCAGCAGAAGAATATCGATATGGCTCGCAGTCCGCTACTTTCAAGTTTGCAGTCAGACCAATGCCTACGGCAGCTCGTCCTCTAGAGGGTACAATATGTGAGAGATTCCCCTCCTCGGGGTATCTGCACGTGGCAATGAAGTCATTTTCTGGCACCGACTCGGACCGTTCACGTATAGCGAAGCTTTTGGAGAATTTCTCACATATGTTTACAGAAACACCTGGGAGGACTAATATCCTCGAACACCGAATTGATACTGGAGACACTCCGCCTATCCGATTTAACGCGCGGCCCCTAAGTGTTCACAAACGCACACTCCTGGACGGAGCACTGAATGAGATGATTCGGACCGGAGCCGTCCGTCCCTCGAAAAGTCCATGGGCTTTTCCGGTCGTGTTAGCACCCAAGAAGGATGGCACCGCACGCCTCTGCGTAGATTACCGTCCTCTGAACGCGGTCACGAAGCGAGATGCATACCCCTTTCCATCAGTCTCGTCTGTTTTATATGCACTGGGGTCTGCACGGATATTCACAACCCTCGACTGTAGTAGGGGATTTTTGCAAATTCCCGTAGCAACAGATGACGTCCCTAAAACAGCATTTGTTTGCCCCAGGGGTCTGTTCGAATTTGTCCGACTCCCCTTCGGCCTATCTAACTCCCCTGCGAGCTTCCAGAGGCTCATGGATACAGTCTTGGGTGATGCAAAGTTTAACTATGCAATGGCCTACATGGACGACGTAGTAGTGTTTTCTAGTACTATCGAGGACCACCTTCACCATTTACAGGTCGTCCTGAAGCGCATGAGTGAAGCTGGTCTCACGATTAACCCTTCAAAAGTGCAACTTGCATCACCCAAAGTGGAGCTTCTTAGCTTCGTGGTCGACCAAGGATCGCTCCAGCCGCAAGCAGAGAAGCTCAGAGCAATCATAGAATTTCCCCAGCCACGAGACAAAAAAAGTTTACAACGGTACCTTGGCATGGTGGGATTCTACCGCGAGTTTATTGCCAACTGCGCTGATTTGGCCCGGCCCCTTCACCAGCTATTACGCCGGGAAGTTCCATGGACCTGGACTTCCGCTCAGGAACAAGCGTTTAAAGCGTTAGCAAATGCTATTGCGGATACTGCATCTCTGAGACTTCCTAATCTCAATGCTCCATTCGTCCTCCAAACGGATGCCAGTGATTACGGTATAGGTGCAGTATTACTCCAAGAACATAACGCAGCGTTGCGGCCCGTTGCATTCGCGAGTCATACTCTCACCGCGGCCGAATGTAACTATACGGTAACCGAAAAAGAATGTCTAGCTATAATATTCGCTTTGCGAAAGTTTGACATGTACCTAGATGGAGCGACCTTCACCATCCAGACTGACCATCAAGCATTAACATGGCTGAAAAACCTTAAACACCCCGCTGGACGCCTTGCCCGCTGGGCTCTGGCTTTACAGAAATATGATTTTTCCATTGAATACAAACCGGGAAGGTTCAATGTCGCAGCAGATGCCCTGTCACGAGCACCCCTACCCCCCCGAAAAGCGGATGACACAGCGGAACTCGTCGCTGTTGCTGACGCTGAAGTCTCCTGGGGTCTTTCTGTGAGCCGGGACGAGCTACGAGAAGCCCAGCAAAAAGACGACATGTGCCAAAAGGTATCTCGGTGCTTGACTCAGCCCCATCAAACCGATGGAAACAGGACGTATGGGTCGGTAGACGCATATGTGCACAGCGAGGATGGACTCCTCCTTCGCTACATACCGCAGGCAGACGAAGCCGACCCCACAACGTCCCCTTTTCGTGTGGTCGTACCCCGTACATTAAGGCAAACTTTCCTCCGGTATTTTCATGACAGTGCGCTAGCGGGCCACAGTGACGGTCAGAAAACCTACCAGAAACTGTGTCGCGTTGCCACTTGGCCGAGGATGCGCCAGGATGTTCTCCGCTACACACGCAGTTGCCTACGTTGCCAACAAGCCAAACCCAGGGGAGGTAAACCCCCTGGTTTGATGCAGTCAGTGGAAAGTCGTTATCCATGGGAGATTGTTTCATGTGACATAATGGGCCCCTTTCCACGCAGCCCCAAAGGAAACAGGTATCTCCTGGTAGTCACCGACCACTTCTCAAAGTGGGTGGAGCTTCACCCTCTCCGCCAACTGAGTTCCAGGACCATTTGGGACAAATTGAGGGACACCTTCACCCGCTTCGGGTTCTGTTCCCAATTAATTTCCGACAACGCATCCTACTTCACAAGTAAGGTTTTTGAGGACTGTTGCGCAACACTGGGCATCCAGCACAAGTGCACCACTCCTTACCACCCTCAAGCCAACATAGCTGAGAGGGTCAACCGGAACCTCAAAGCAATGCTAGTGGTATACACCGAGAGACATAAAGACTGGGACAATTACATCCCGGAAATGGCTTTCGCCACTCGAACTACGGAGAACCGTACGACAGGGTTCACACCTTCCCAAATAAACTTCGGACGCGAGCTGCGATTTCCCCTCGAGAACAGCTTTTCCGACGATAATCGAAGACCAAACACCTCGTACGCGAGATTCGCTGAACAACTTCGTGATAAAATCACCGACGCTGTGCGAGTGGCTCGACAAAATATTGAGTTAGCGCAGCTCGATCAGAGGAACCAATATGACCAAGGCAGGAGATCCCTAGAATTTTCAATAGGCGACTGCGTTCTCCGGCGCGTGCACCCGCTTAGTAATGCAGCAAAGGGATTCGCGGCATCACTAGCTCCTCGTTGGGAAGGTCCCTTGGAAGTTGTTTCACGGGTATCACATTTGGTGTATAGGTTACGACATGTCGAAGACGGGTCGTTAACTGGACCCGTTAACATTTGTGATCTGAAGCCGTTTGTTTCTAGACATGTCACCCTTTAGGGATGTCCTAAGAAACACAGTCCCCCGTCAATTTTTGCCACACGAAAGATTGTTGCTCATGGTTATTTTCTATCCAGGCATGCCACCTCGACGCAGCAACACCCATTCCTTCCGACGCTCTCGGAGCCGCTCCCGATCCCCCCTACGCCCCCAATTCAACCCACGGGGCCACTCGCGCCGCGCCAGGCGACATAACCGCCGTCAGCAACCGCCACGCACTGCCGAGGCTGCCACCTGGTGCGTGATGGAGGCCGGTCGAATGGTCACATTCGCGTCCCGGATGGCCTGGGAACACCAACCTCAAGTGCCACAAGGGACTGCACCAGAAGACGTTCCCCATCCCTTCCGGCGACGGACACTGACGGAGCGCTGTGCTGCAGATCTACCCGCCGCCTACGACGAGGAAGAATATGCCGACATCTGTGAACTTTGCCGCGTCCCACTCATTTCATGCGAACAACATCATCAAGGAGCACTTCACCACGACCGAGAAGACCGCCAGCGGGCGCTGGTGCGAGCTGGATCACGGGCCCTTACACCTGCCGACATCGAGGCCGCCCTCCTTATTGTTGGCCGTGCCTGCCCCGAACGCCTGCGCCGAACACTACCCTTACCACCAGAACTGGCGAACATCAGACTCAGCGACGACGAAATGTAACCAACTAATTAGGAAACTCCCTCCCCCCCCCCCCCCCCCCAAGAGGGGGATGATGTGGGGATCGAAAAGAAGAAGAATAAAGATGCCTCGTGAGGCAGATCGAACTAGCTCGCGCTCAGGACGAGCGCGGGGTAGAACGGGCGTAGACACCAGTGAAGCGGCTGTCTTTTCTTCAGTCTCCACAGTACATATTCAATGATGGTGCTGAAACAACTTGAAGAATTAACGATTGCACAAAGACAGAACAGGGGAGACACACGGAACTGACATTATGGTGGGAAAATAGCTTGAACATTAAACGATACACCGAGACAGAAGATTAAACGATTACTAAGAGACAAAACAGTCACTCAATTTCGAAATGTTGCGCTGTAGTCGCGCTGACGTCAATGATTGCATCGCAAATACTTTATAAATTAAAGTGTCTACTCAAAATTTGCGTCGTCGTATTCACAGTGAGCTGCGTCTTGAGTCTCATGACGAACGCTATCACAATTCATAGACAACCAACAATAGTAAATTCTGCAGACAAGTTTTGTTTTTCTTTTCTTCTTCTAAAGATTGAAGATGCTTTGCTTTTTGTAGCGTTAAATAAACTCACCCGCCATTTTAGGCCCATACCGGCAGAAGCACCGCTGCATCTCTTCCACGAGGCCAGAGTTCGCATTTCATATCGTTGTTTCGGTACTGATCGTATTGGAGGCACCGCAGTCGCACGAAGTCTTTCATGAGTAAAATTAGAAAGAACGCCTATTCAACGTTGGGGCCCTTCATTCTTGTTTTCTTCAATGGCAGATTGGCCAGGCGTTGACTGAATGCAAATCGAGCGTCAGTTGCGCTGCGTGATGGTTCTCTTTTAACTTAGAGAGCAGCGAGAGCTACGGGCGCCAGGTTACAACTTTGAGAGGTGCTTATCTTCTTTGGTTGCACCTGCAGCGAAAGCAGAAAACCTAAGCTACGAGCTCGGACTCTCAGTCCTCCCTTCGGTTTATAATAAGCGTGGGATTTAGCACCGGGTCCGCGGACTTACCGCCGACCTGCGGACATGTCCGTAATAACGTCAATCTCACGTGTTTCGCATGTTTTTCTGGTCTGTGGCCCTGGTTTTTTTAGTTTGTCCACCTCGTGGGTATACCTTAAGCAGTCTCCCCGTACCGTGGGGGATAGTGAATACATACGAATAAGTACATGATTACTTTTTATGTCTTCTGCTTCCATACATTTGACTATGCAGTCATAAAGCTGCGCACGCGCTCTTCTCTTTTCTTTGGAGATGCCACAGAAAGTTTTTCATAAGTATAGCTTCCCCTTCTTAAAAAAAAAAAAGGGGGGGGGGGGGGATAATGTTTGCGTTCATGGTGTGAGGTAAACCTTCTTGTCCTTTTAGCCCACTGGCGGGCATGTTGTTTTTGTTCGACACCGTGAAGTATGTTACACAGGCACTCACTAGTCTTATTGTTGTGTGATTGAGGTTCCACTGTGTCAATGCTTCCACAAGTTAATACTAATCGGCCACCGAAATCTGCTGCGAATTATATCGTGGATCTCCGCGTTAATAGCAGTATTGCATAGATTGGAAATTATGTCGTCTACAAAGTCTTCTTGTCTCTTGCAATATACCCCCCCCCCCCCCCCTTCGCTCCAAAAAAAAAAAATCAGGCATTGAAAGCAAGTTACATAAAATATAGGACAAAAAATGGAGCGCTTACGTTAGAAGGGCGTAATATCCCCAGAAAGTGTATATGTTGCCTTCTTAATGTTAAAAGATGAAATTACATTTCTAGGGTTTCTTGGTTCTAAATTGTACCCAAACCTGCCCAAATGGTGAAACACGAACTGTTGTTGATGGAAACCCATGCACCGTAAGTTTTCATAACTGAGATTTTTTTTAATTAACAGAGGTTACCAATGCTTCGACCCCTTAAATGATTCTCAAAAGACAGTTTCTAAACGTATTGTGCTACGATTTGCTACAGAGGTGCCCCTGAGCGAGGAAGCTTAAAGTGAAAATATCAGCGCTTAAATTTACTTCGTTAAAAACGAAAACTTGTTCTGGGAAATTTGTGGCTTTTCAAAACAATGCGTGCCGTCTGCTAAATGATGCCGATATATCAGAAGCTTCGAAGGCGCGCCGGCACATATCTTAGCAAATAATCTTCCGAAAGTTTTGACGATACTTTATTCATAAAAGAGATTGAGTAAACCTCAGTGCGATATTTTCGGGAACCATTTTTTTTCAGGCAGTGAAAAGTGGACTTGAAGGATCGGTCTACACGCTGTATATTGTGAGACAATTTTAAAGTGTTCCACTAGATCGTTTAGTCACTGCCGCTACGCTATCCCTAATCTAGCTTGTACGATATCTGCTACAACAAGGCGTGGAGTCGTGCTAGTTGGTTCATCACCACAGAAGTGAAAAAAAAACAAGAAACAGTGCAGCGCTGTGTGTGTGTACTCCCTCAACTTGTCTTCCGTCTTTTGCGCTGTTTATTTTTTCACTTCTGTAGTGACATCCGCTGCAATCCGCTGCAAATGACAGCCTTACTGGAACTAACGCAGCGCCACTAGCGCTTCTGTCAGACACTAAAGCTTGTATAAAACAAATGTTTGCAGTGCAATTCCTTGCAATCTTTACTTAATGTCGCTATCTGAATATAATTTTTTTTCTTATCCAATAAAGTGCTCATCTTCGCTTTCTATACGTAAATCATTATCACGTTTGTAATTGAATACAAATGACAGCCAATCTGGCTGTATGCCTATTCGATCTGAGTCAAACGCAGAGCTAACAAGGGAAAGTTTCGGGAATCACAACAACCGTAGCTCGTCTGTTCTGCCGTTGTGATCGTTTTCTTTCTCTTTCTCACTGTTTACTGAAGATCAAATGCCACAAAAATCTCCCGGATCCGCCTCTTTGCTTGTTTCTTTTTGTTTGATTCTTTCCTCATTGCAAAAGCGGCCGTTAACGAGGCCGCACTTTTCGGCCACAGCACGGATTGCAAAGCTTTCTTTTTTTCCCGTGACCGTATTTAGAATGTCCATCAGAAATCGTAACTTGTCACAATCCTGGTATGTATTCTCGCTTCTCGCAGGAGCAAGATACGATCCGCACCTGAGTAGCGCGATTGCGAAGCGGACACATGCGGCGCGGCGGCCATCTTGAATTGTGTTCCTTCCACTGGCTCCTCCTAACCTCCCCAAGACTCGTTTTCGCGAGACCCATGCTAGGCTAGCACACCGCACTACGTGCGCTACGTTTCTCGCAATTTCCCTAAAATCACGCGCCTCCGTTGGCTTCGACACCTCCGCTAATTTTCCGCTAGCATCACATATCCGCAGTAGTGGCGTCACTCTAGCATATAACTTAGCGGGAGTGCCAGAACAATCTACCAAAACTCTCTGAAAATTTGGGTGAAGTCCCCAAGGTGAGGGAGATTTACGCAAGGATAAATTGACTTTACTTTCATCTGAAATGGCCCACAACTCTCGCCGTCTATGCAACTGGTGTGCAATGAAAGAATTCCACCTGATCCAGGCATCGATCTTGGGGCCGCTCCATGACTAACGTTGAGGTTTCTCAACGGGGGAGTGGCCTAGTGAAGCGCTGTGCTGGCAGAACGCTCTTCCAGAAAAACTAACGAAATGGAGTGATTGCCTTTTAAAAAAAGAATACAGAGCAGTGTACCTTTCAAAAAGGGGTGGTGCTAAATAAATGATTTCCAGACTGTAAAGCCGTAGGCAGTATTAAGGTTGAGAGCTGGGATAGTTAGTAGGGGTCAAACATATTGAGATAAAACTGCGCAAAAAGAACTAAAGGACGCGACAAACCGGACAGGACAGAGCACTCCCCTGTCCAGTTTGTCGCTTCCTTTAGTCTTTTTTGTGCATTTTTATCTCATTATGTTTAACCAATAGAGAGCACTTACTGGTTGCCATAAGTGAGTCCCCGGCTGGTCAACGCGTGCTGGCAACCGACTTCCAGCTTGTAATTTTTTTGTTTTTTTTTAATTTTTGCAGCGTGAATATTTTATTCTTAAGATTGCCGGTCTTAGCAGCCTATAACTGTGAGCTTGTTCCGAGCATGCCCAGTGAACAGCGCACTCAAATATGACGTTTATGTGAATACCTCTACAGGGGCTATTCACTGGACGCAACAGTTCCCAATGATAGGCTGCTAAGATCGGCATTTGTGATGGTGCGGAATGCACGCTGCAAAATAACTCTAGAAGCTCAGCGTCAGCACGGGCTCAGCGGTCGCGCTCACAGCTAGGATATACTAGAATGGGGAAGAATGCCGTCCGGCGGCCGTGAGTGCGTAGCAATGTGCGGGCACGCCGGTGAGGGCGCTGGGGGGCAGAGCGCGTTAAGAGCGCGGCCATCCGACGGCTGACCGAAGCCTGGTGGTCGCGGCTGATACGCTTTATTGAGCGACAAAATGGTCGTATTCTTTGTGTTTGTTTTTACCTTTTTCATCCTAATCGCACCTTCTGAAGAAGCGTGACTTAGGCGAGCGGCAGAAGCTTATATTCAAATCGGAAATGACGTTTGGAAGCGGTCGGTTCCTTACAGAGTCTTTCCTCTTTAATTTATTCTTTATTATACTGTTATAGAAGAATAGTTGTCTACATCACCTTACATAACATCATTAAGAAAGCGAAGTCTGAACATGGTATGATGTGCGATGCTTCTCTCTCCACTTTAGTGCCCAAGCTCCTTTAATTATATTTTTGACAGCGGTACACCCGTGACCGATATGAAGGTGAACAGCCCTCTGGTTTATTGCGCACCTGCAAGTTTTGGAACAAGCTCTGTTCTAGAAGAGGGCTAGAACGCCAAATTCTAGCCACGTACCATTTGAGACGCTGAGAGTTAATATAGCTTTAGGGAGCCGTAAAACAGGCAAGAAACCAGGTAAGGTGTTCACCTTCATATTGCCGGCGGGTGTACAATTTCCAGACTTTAAATACCTAGTTTTTGCTTTGGTGTTAATGCTTCTTGTTTGTGTAGCATTGAATAATGAAAGCGGACTTTTCTTGACCTTTGCATTTTCTGCCAAAGCTTATAGACCAGGAGATGTCTGAATCGGTTTCATCTAGTGAGTATGTATCATATGAAAATAGACACAAAAACTGGCAAGATAAATGAAGCAACTTCAACTGCTGTCTTTATTGAAGAGAAGTTGTTGAAGTTGCTTCATTTATCTTGCCAGTATTTTTTTTTTCATGTGATACATACTCACTAAATGAAACCGATTAAAACATCTCCTGGTTTATAAGCTTTGGCAGAAAATGCAAAGGTCAAGAAAAGTTCGCTTTCATTATTTAATGCTACACAAACAAGAAGCATTAACACCAAAGCAAAAACTAGGTATTTAAAATTCTGGAAATTGTACAGCTGTCAAAAATATAATTAAAGGAGCTTGGGCACTAAAGTGGAGAGAGAAGCATCGCATATCATACCATATTCGATCTTCGCTTTCTTAATGATGATATGTAAAGTGATGTAGACAATTATTCTTCTATAACAGTATAATAAAACAAGAATTAAAGAAGAGAGACTGTGAAAAGAACTGACCGCTTCCAAACGTCATTTCCGATTTGAATATAAGCTTCTGCCGCTCGCCTAAGTCACGCTTCTTCACGGGGGTGCGATTAGGATGAAAACTATTCTTTCTCACAGCCAAGAAGGTAAAAACAAACAAAGAATACGACCATTTTCTCGCTCAATAAAGCATATCAGCCGCGACCACCAGGCTTCGGTCAACCGTCGGATGGCCGCGCTCTTAACGCGCTCTGCCCCACAGCGCCCTCACCGGCGTGCCCGCACATTGCTACGCACTCAAGGTCGCCGGATGGCATTCTTCCCCATTCTAGTATACGAAGTATTCACTGGACGTCATATTTGTGGGTGCTGTTTAGAGCGCATGCTCAGAACGAGCTCACATCAATAGGCTGCTAAGACCGGCACTCTCGAGAGTGCAGAATGCAAGTTGCAAAAGAACTGTGGAAGCTCGCCGTCAGCACGCGCTCAGAATTCGCGCACACAGATATGGCCGCCAGTAAATACTCCCTATACCCTAGCTGTGAGCGCGACTGCTGAGCGCTTGCTGACGCTGGGCTTCTACAGTTTTTTTGAAGCGTGCATTCCGCACCATCAAGAATGCCGATCTTAGCAGGCTATCATTGTGAACTATCGCGTACAGTGAATACCCCCTGTAGAGGTATTCACATAAACGTCATATCTGAGTGCGCTGTTCATAGGACATGATGGGAACAAGCTCACAGTTATAAGCTGCTGAGACCAAAAATCTTAAGAATAAAATCTGTGTTCGTCCATTTTGTTTTGTCGTTCCCTATCTCAGCGTTTACAAGATGTACAGTATCCACGCTGAAAAAAATTAACACAAAATACAAACTGAAAGTTGGTTGCCAGCACGCGTTGACCAGTCGGGGACTCATTTATGACAACCAGTAAGTACTGCCTATTGGCTAAACATAATGAGATAAAAATGCGCAAAAAGGACTAAAGGAAGCGACAAACTGGACAGGGGAGTGCTCTGTCCAGTCCGGTTTGTCGCTTCCTTTAGTACATTTTGCGCTGTTTTATCTCACTAAATTTAACCCCAACTAACTGGCCCAGCTCCCAACCTTATTACTCCCTATGGCTTCACAGTCGGGAATTCATTTAATTAGCATCACCGCTTTTTGAAAGGTACACTACTCTGCATTCCTTTTTAAAAGGCAATATATATATATATATATATATATATATATATATATATATATATATATCTTTCTCAGATTGTTCAGCACGCTACACCACAAAATCAAGTACCCCAAGAGAGGAGGAGAAGGAGGAGGAAAGGAGGCGAGGAGGAGAGGGTACGGATGAAGAGGAAAGGCATACCCTCCTCCCCGTACTCTTCCCTCCTCCTCCTCAAGAGCTGCGCTCCAATTCGGCGTTACAGGAAGTAGTAAACGTGTTTCCTCTTTTTAAGGTGACTCTGGAGCTCTTAGATGAAGAGAACGTTAACATTACGGTGGGATCCTGTGACCAAGGATGCTGCGCTCCTGCCAGTCCCCCTCAGCACCGGACTATTACGCTAAGTAAGTATGAAATATTACAATATTTATATGTCATAAATCAAAGTACCCTAGTCATCTAGTTAGCTCCTGTTATGCTGCTCATACATGATACAAGAGACATGGTGTTCGCTGCAGACATTATGGCAGAAGTATCTACGTACATGCCTCAACCATGTTCGAGGCATGTTTGCATCATACATGCTGAGAGTTAATGTCAATACAGGCAGTCTTTGGATGACCAATGTGAGAGGGCCGTAGTTCAAAGAAGAACCACGACTGAGACACTGTCTTCAGACTGTCTTTTGCATGGTATTTTTGCAGTGTGACCGTGGCTTGAGGGTTATAATTAGGCGATACAATTAGCCCAGAAATTTTATTTCTAAACCAACCTATCACATATTTTCTACGATACTGAAGTGATGCAGGAAGTAGAGGATTATTTGCTTCACTGCTAAAAGAAACAATGTAGGGTGGTTTAAATTTTTAAGTTCTTCGTGGTTGGTGAAGTCTGCATGCTGCTCAGTGTTTTACAGAATTATATGACGCTTGTTCCTCCGCCTGCCAATAAACTGACAAAACCGGAACAAACCTTCTGCTTTCTCGCTTTCTGGACATCTAAAAAGAAAGTGACGTAAGCAGCGACCTATCAGTTTCAATAGCTTTTAGCAGTCGCTGAACGTGGGTGACGTGGTGGCGCCCTCTTAAGTTTTCTACCCGTGGCGTCAGGACCGGGATTATCAGTTATGAACGATACGTTCGAGGGTCTGTGTAAAAATCTAGAGAAAAGCCCCCCCCCCCCCTTTGGAGGTATTGCATTCTTACACCAATACCGTAAAACTCGACAGTCTGGCATGTCTCTTTTTTTTTAATTGATCGACATTTAGCGCCTGTAAACAGTCAGCTGTCACCATATTATTTAGGATCGTTGAAGGTTTTTTTGACCGAACATAAGACCTTACCCAGAGTTCGTGTTTATGCTGGCGTTTGAATACCTCTAAAGGCTGCTATGCTCGAGAAAACCTGTTTCTACATAAAACCGAAGATACGAGAGCGCGCGCTTGAGAGCTGACCAAAGCTGTGCTTGCGCACTCGTCCCTTCTTCGAAAGTGCCAATGAGAGTTGTCCCCGATTATAAATAGCTTATAGCGAGTGTTTGGTTAATCGGGGAAGCCCGAGTACAGCGACAATTTTGGTCACGCAAGTCGTCGCCATCATCAACGCGCAAAGGGAAGTGAACGCCAAAGCCGCGCCCGGTGTCGTAAATAGCGACCTGATGCCAACGGAACAGTGTGAGGTATGGTAACAATGCAACAGAAAATATGACGCCTGTTAAAGTCACTAAATAACTTACGCTTACAATGTCCCTTCTCCGCTCGGTTTTCTCGGACGTCGCCATTTTGGCGCATAACGCAGGGCGTACGCAATCGGCGTTCGTTATGATTGAACATGCGGCTTTCTGAGCATGGATATGATGTCAGGAAGCTAGGCCATCCATGTTTTGCTCTATCGCAGAGTGTTTTAACATTTTCATAAAACAGAAAAGCGTTTCATGTGATATTAGAAACGGCTTCAGACAACTGGTCACTATGATTATAAACACCAAGATTGCTAAAGTGTTGGTACTCAGAATCATGGTCTATTTAGTGGCTCTAGTCTTTTCCCAGACAATGCCCAAACGTAGCATTGGGCAAGCATACGCGTTTGTATATTATGCTCTTTCTACTTTCCCGCACGAGCACTTGGAGAGCCAATCGCCGCAACTTACGGAGGCCGCTCAGCGAATGGGGGTGCCAAAATATATGTTTAGACCTAAAAACGCAGTATGAGTTGTGACATTAAGCAATGCAAGCGTGACGTTTTGCATTGCTTAATGTCACAACGCAGAGTGTGCTTTTTGGTCTAAACATATGTTTTGGCACCGTCATTCGCTGAGCTGCCTTCGTAAGTTGCTGTGATTGCATCTCCAATTACTGTGCCGGAAAGTAGACACACGGGATTTTTTTAGAGTGTACCTACAAAATTTTGCCAATTGTTGAAGGTGTGTTTTGACGTTTTACATCAAAACCGTAGACATTTTTAATACAGAAATTAAACCTAACGCAAAAGTTGCGTGCGTTACTTTTCATTGGCAACTGTAACGCTTACGTGTTTCTTTTTCTTTCTTTCTTTTTTTTTTTTTGAGATAACGTTGGTCGGTTGCGAAAAACAGTGACTGTGTGGGCGAGCTGCTGGTAGTTAATCAAAATGTAATAGCGAAGACTCTGGCGAGGAAAAATTAAGAAATTTTGAAGTCGAAAAAAGTATTCCTTAGACTTGAATGTTTCTTCACTTTTCTATACCACAGCCTAAGTTGTTATCTTATGAGTAAGTCTGTATTGCGTTCCTTGTTTTTTTTTTCTTTGTTGTTTTTTTGCAAGCAACGTGTAACGTATTTTGTTATATTTTTCGGTACCACTTACAACATTCCCAATGATATATATCTTGAATTAAGTGGTGGACCGATGCCCATTTTATTTTGATTCTAAGGCTGACACATTTTCACAGCCTTCTTGCGCTAGCTCGTACTGATGGATTGATGTTTCGGTCGCATATGATGGTTTTCAGGCTGTGAACGTATTTTTCTCGGTTATTCTAAAGAACACGGTGCTCCTTGGCTAATTGCAGTAGACTGAATTTAAAGAGTAAAGTACACTACTTTACTCTTTTAGGAAAATTTGAGTGAAATAAATATTCAGCGGTGGCCGTAGCACGCAGCTTCGAGATTCCACTTTATCTATGGAAGAATGATGGGAAGCGGACGTAAATATAGTGCGCTGTCTAATACACCTTGGGACTAAGTTCATATTTCAAACAAAGTGTTATTGCAGGAACCGGAACCTTCTTTTATAACTGCGAAGTTTCTTAGCAGTTTTTGCTCTTTGCAATGCCTGCACGTCTATTTACACGCAAGACACTCAAAAAGCCAATCATTGCAATCTACGAAATCAGCTCACCGTATGGTGAGGCGGATCATCTATTTAGACCTTAAAATTAAGTCTGCGCTGTGGCATTACGCAATGCAAGCATGACGCTTTGCATTGCGTATTACGACGGCAGCTGCACTCCTTTCGCGCAACGCGCGAAAGGAGTGCACTAATCTTTACGCATACCTCCATCGGCCAGTGCACCTCGTATTAGATCTTTGGTCGGAACACGTATACAAAATGCGTATTTGCAGTGGTGTGGACCGAAGGCGCCTGGACAAATATTCGTTGTAGAAGCGCGCGGCCCAACAGCCACACAAGTTCTTCTTGTATATGTAACCATGCAAAATATCTTCAAATATGCCGAATATTTGTCCGTAAAACATAAAAAACATTATTAACAATTTTGTATTTCGTAAAACAAGGCTAGGGCTACGTTCATGAAGCAGGAACCGTAAAAATAATACCTTTATTTCTCTTCCTTCATATAAATGTTTATACAAATAGTTACAAAAATTAAATCTTCTACATGCTCGTTAGCTTTTAGAATGCTTATTTTTATTGGAAAGCAAAATGCTCATACCCATTTGAATAACATTTACTGTTAGTGAGCGCAGCGGAGGACGAAGAAGAACACAAGAAAAAGGACAAGAAGCAGAAGAAGAGCAAGAAGAACGAGAACAAGAACAAGAACAAGAACAAAAACAAAAACAACAAGAATTCATAGTATAGTCAAATACAAGTTAAGAATGAGCCAGAAGCTCCGCCTCCAGCGCGAACCTTTTATCTTCGGCACGTCCAGCCAACGCATGCTGGAATGCAACGAGCACGAGATGGGCCCTAGGCTCATCGAACCCAAAGTTTGAGCCGAAACTTCGCGCAGGGGACCGCGACAAAACAGCACACTACAAAACAACACGGTCAAAAACAGCGCGCGTTGAAACAGCACCGCGTCAAAACGGGACAGTAACAGGAGAAACACGCGTCAAAACAACTTAGCAAGAAAACAGCACGCGCGATACTGTTTTTTCGCTGCAGGATGCATTATTAGCAGCACGCGCCTAAATTAAGAACTTGCAGCTAACGTGTTTGGCAGAATTCTGTATTGTCGTTACATCTTATTATCTGCCGTTATATGAATCTATATTATTACCTGCGCCGTCATATTTTATTACATCCTTAAAGGTTTTCGTGAATGTTCGGTAACATGGAACCTTTCTACCGCGAGCCCATGAAGCTAAATTTTTTGCTGTCTTTTTATTGGCTGGTTAATAGTTAATTTGTTGACGTTTTAATTTGATACAAATGCGGCACCTTGCTCCCCCAAAGAAAGACTGCAGATCACAATTGTCGAGTCTCGTGGAACTGCTAAAGAAATCGTTTATTTGACAGGCATTGTTGTTTAAATATAGCTTACATTCAATAAGGAAAGCGACAGCCTACAAGAGTGTCAATGAGGGACTGTATGTTATACTGGGACAGGATGTTGCAGTCTGTGAGATTCTCGCGTATGGCTTTGAACCCGATGAGGTGCATCCTCTTTGGCCGTCGATCCTCTTCTCCTTTGGATAAATAGTGCGTCCCATTTGTGTCGATACAAATTGTTAACGAATTATCAATTACTCAGTGATTAAAAGGATGGCAAGAAATTGAGCTTAATTGGCTTGCGTTGGGAAGGTTTCATATTACTGAACAAGCACGAAAAACTCTTTTAAGTACGTAGTAAAATATAATTGCCCAGATAATAATATCAAGTCATATAACTGTAGCTAATAAAATGTAACGCCCATACCCATGTTCTGCTGAACAAGTTGACAGCAAGTACTTAATTTAGGCGCGTTCTGCTAATAATGTGACCTGGAGCGAAAAAAAGCATGCATTTTTTTGTGTGCGGTTTTCTTACACGTGCTGTTTTGCAGCGTTTTGTTTTGACGCGCATTGCATTGTCGCTGTGTTGTATTGACGCGGCGCTCTTTTGACGCGTGCTGTTTTCACCGTGCTGTTTTCACCATGTTGTTTTGTCGTTCGCTGTTCTGTCGTGGTGCCTTCGCGCAGCGCGTCGATTTGACTTCGGCGACAAGAGCGCTGAGTCATCGTCGGGCAACTCTAATCGTCGCGCTCCGTAAATTTCGGCCTCAACTTCGTGTTTTTAGAATCGATGGCCCCTGGAGGCGGAGCTTCTCGCGTATCAACTATCTGACAGAGTATTCATAAAACAAAAATAAAGATTCGATGTCATCATAAAAACTGACCTATAATCATTAGAGCGTGCTGCATAGTGTCTCAGTAAATGGGAACCCCATCAAAAGTCTTTTTGAATGAGAGCGTGTTGGTAAGGTCATAATAATAAACTTAAATCAACAAACGTCTTGTTTTGTGTTCGTCTTTGTGTTACTTTCCATTTGCACTAGATCCTAACACAACCATCAACTACTGTTCAGGTACAGTGCAATCACCTGTCCAATATAACGCGTAATCGGTGGCCGAAACTTAAAGGCACGGCGGAACGCTGCCGCCACGAAATGCAGCAAGCAGATATGCAGCACGTGTGACGAAGGATCGCTGGCATTTCTGACGAACGCCGTGATTTGATGCAGCATATCCGAGGCCGGGTTGCATAAGGTACAATTGCGGAGGATATGAAAAGTCCCAGACGAGCTCGTGGCTTCGAAGACCTTTAGTGCTATCTGACGGAAGACAGCTGAGTAACCATAGATGCTATTATATGACAGAGTGGTATTTCCAAAATGCCTCTCATTCATACAATGGAGTGTCTCTCAATCAAGCACAAGCGTTTAGTGACTTTGTGATTACGGTGCTAGACCAGGGCAAGAATAGTGACGAAATCGGCGTTCACAGGCAGACTGGCTAAATAAGTAAGTGCCTGTGACAACTTGTGATGCTTTCCAGCCTGATTTCCGTCCATATTTTTGCCTGGAACATTCTAAAGGCGCGGGTCGTCCAGATTTTCGTAACTGGTGCGAGTTGCAACAATAAAAAATTCTCTAGCTAGTGCTGCGCGTCTTGGTCGTCTCGGTTCTTTGTTGGTCTATACCAAAATGTAATCGTCCAAGCTGATTGCCTATTACGTCCAAGCTGATGACATTTTTTTGTGATTATATTTCTATTCCGTTACTAGAGCCTAGCACACTAACTCCCGAGTGTGCGATGCAAAATTAAAATGAGATACCCAGAAACCCGTTGCAGGTGCCCTGAAGTCGCTGACGCATATTTTGAGGAATGTATTCGGAAAAGTATTTGGAGGATACCAAATACATTTGGTTGTATTTGTATCTTGTACTTAAATGCTTTTTTGGAGATTTGTAATTAAATACATTTTTGACGAAGTATTTTGTATTTGTGTTTTGATACATATTCGCATGTATTTTGCCCATCCCTGGGTTTATTTGTGTTCTTTTTCACGTATTTTATTTAGACTCCGGCGGGCTCGAACTCGCCCACTGCATAAAAAAAAGCCGCATCGTAATCACCATCGTCACCATTATCCTCGTTTTGAAGTAATGAGGAGCCGCTGGAAAATGGGGGTTGGCCTCAGGCATCGCTTTCGGGAACGAGGTGATGTGGCTTGAGTCATACGTGTAATTTTCTCGAGAACAGGCGGAAAGAAGTAAGACGAATGGCTTCACAGCTCCCGCCAACAACCTCGATGGGAGACAGTGGGGAAGAGCAGCTAGGAGAGATACCTTAAGAGAATGAACCAGAGAAGGTGAACCAGCAAGATCTGCATCTGCATTGTTTACAGGGATTGAAACACCAGATAGGGGAGAATAACAAGAGCGCTCGCACATCGCTGGAGCATCTCAAACTGAACTTCGGTGGAAAGCCAAAACCTGGAGGACACCGTTGCAGTCGATTTCAAGACGGCGAGAATTCTGGTGCAAGAGAAAGAGACACGACGCTGGAGGGACTAGATGGCCCAGAAGTCATCGCTGCACGCGTAGGGGGGCACAGAAGAACATTATTTAAGAAGGAGGCGTTTTATAAAACAACAGAGGAGGTGGCCTTTTATTTAAGGCACCGGCAGGGTGTCTCCGAACAAGGCAATTGAGGGCTCGCTTCACCGAAGAACAACCGGACCCCTGCTCCATCCGTGGGACGAACACACAGACCATCCGTCATGTAGTGTGAACTGCCAAAATCTAAGGCCCGAGCCAGAATCAGACTTGTTCCCGGAAGCACTTGGCTTTGGAACGATGGCGGAACACAGTATGAACTCGGTTGACGCTGCACGCAGAATCGAGAGGATCACTGACTGCACCAAGAGGAGACGAGAGGACTGGCAGTGTCAATTCATGAAGGGGTGAGCTAGTGGTGAAGTATATTCTAGCAGGAGACGGGCTTGGACTCTGTTCACCCATTACAAAGGGAATGGTCAACGCAGTACAGTCCAATGTAATCCAATTTAGTTCGTAGGGGGCCGTTACGCGGCAGTTGAGGAACCGCATTACACTGTTGCATCTTGCTGTGTTTCGTGTGGTTTGCGTGGTTTACTTAAGCATGGAATTATGTTTTAACGGAAGCGCCTAATCCTAGAAATTTGTCTGTATGTTTGTCCGTGCATTCACACAATACAGTTGGTGAAGAAATGGACGTCACGTGACGTCATAAAATCTTCTGACACCATGACTTAACACCGTGACGTCAAGTCCTGTAACCACGTGGCTTCATGTCATGGTCTCACATGACACCATGACTTGAAATTGTGAAAATGTTCTGCTACATTTACAGTTGATATGGATGACACGTGTCCTGAAGTCACGTGACGTCAGATGACATAACACAGTGACAACAGGTCTCACGACTAGATCAAGTGACACCCCGATGGATGGCAGAATATCACTGGAAGACGAAGAAATGTAGGGCTACCTTCTCCGACCTCCCTTCGTCTTCCAGTGATGATCTGGCAGGCACGTAGCTCGAAGGTTTTTTTCGAAGGGAGCCCTGCTTTCTGTTCTCCCCCCCCCCCCCCCTCCCCCTTCCAGTTTTCCATGACGCGAACACTGAGGGAACTACAGTTTGCTGTAAGTAAACATTGTGTTTCAAGAATAAAATTTTGGGTCGTCCTGTGTTTTTTTTTTGCTTAATCTTTTCTTGAGCTTATAGAAATTTATTTTCGCACGGGACTGGCTTCATTCGGGTTTAATGGCGCACTAGCATCTGAGGCTATAATTTTCCTAGAGCTTTAACTATTGCAATGCACGTGTTAACGACGGAAAAGAGCCATAGCAGTCAGCGATGTGATAAACTGTGAACACACGCGATTATAAAGGTAAAAGTTATCGTCACGGGTTCGGGGTGACAAAAAGCAATCGCAGTTGATGGCTACGGTCAATGTCCGTAAAAGAAAAAATACCTTTTTTTTTTTTTGCGATTAGCGGTTTCATATTTAGGGAGGGATGTGTTCTTTGTGAACTTCTAAGAAACGTTTTTTTACGGCATAGGTCATACGCAGGGCATTCGATCAGGATGTGTAATTCTTCGAGGTTTGCTACTTTATTTATATATGAAGAACAACCTTCCTGTTCAAGCGGTATCCATAAATGAGACGTGCATTATGAATTAATCGTAACCGCAGTGCTTAAAGTCTCCCACCGGTGGCAGGCACTCTCTGGTGTTATCATTTCAGGGGGGGGGGGGGGGGGGTTAGTGGGACATATTTTGAGAGGCAGCTTTCCTTCAAACCAATGAAGTGCACATACATCAAAATGCTTCACAGCGTTGGGTTGTGTCAGCGTCAACCCTAGGCATATACAGCGAAGCCGTATATGCCTAGTGTTCCATGAATTTTTGGTATCCGTGTGCAAAAAGAAAAGTCAGAAATTGTATATAAAAGCGCTCAATTGTATGGAAATTCATACACG